TTTCAATTTGATGAGTGTTTGATAGTTTTCTGATATAGAGTTTTTATTCTTATAACTTCGCTTTTTATTAAACAAGTAAGTTAATTTCGTTCATATTAAATTCTTTTATAAGTTTAATATTTTAAACAACAGTTGCATGTAAAGCAAATTGCAACTTATTATTTCTGAGTCTCTCTGTTGTAAATCCATTGTATAGTTTTAAATTTATTCTTACAAGTTTGACCTATGACAACACCAAACCTTAGAAATTTGTTAAATTAGATGATAACTTAACCATTTAAACTAGTTATTTTTTCCTGAAATTTGTTATAAAATGGTATATTTTGACACCTTTTCATTGTAATGTTTATGTATTCAAGTTAATTAGTAAAACAAGTAAAGAAATAGAGCTGGATGATGAATGATATCACATTTTTGTTATACAAAGCAGATATTTTATTTTAGGCCTTTCGTGTTTTTAATTGTAAAGTATATTTCAAACTATCAGTCGAAATTCGTGATTAATTTGTGCAAAAGTTTTTTACTTACTTTTTGTTCCAAAATCCAAGGCATTTTTAATCAAAGTTAAATGGAAAAGTTGTCAATAATTTTAATTGTTTGATTATTCTGTCTCAACTTATGAGAAAATCTTTTTTGACATTGTTATAAAAGATATCTTTTTTGTAAACGTAAAATTGTTTTCACACAGTCAAATTACTTACAATGTTATGAAATTTTCTTTTTATCCACAAATAATATTTTCTTATACAATTAATATTAAATGTAAAATACTTTTGTGTTATGGCGCATTGTCAAGAAAAAAAACATGAAGCCTTTTGCTCGAATGGAAAATAGAACACAATTCAGATAGAACACTGATAAGTATTAAAACGAAAGTATTATGTAAAAAGACATTAAATAAAAATTGTACAAAGTAATTCAACTTATTTCCGTTGTTTCACAAGGGAATATTTAATCGATACTCTTTTTCGTATGCAAATAAATAACAGTTATTACTTTTCTACGGGATAATTAACTTAAGATCCTTTATTAAATTCTGCATTTTAGTATTCTATGGTAGTTTTGACTATTGATTTTTGAATTAAATTACTAGTTACTCAGTAATTTATATTCAGATGTTTTACCGAAAAACCTTTCAAAAGACTTTTGATAAAAATATCACATACAACAAATGGTATTTTGTGATAGCCATTATGTTTAAGAACAGTTTTTATTCTACAATAAGCTCGAAATAAAGAAAACGTGACTAAGTGATCTCTTCATATTATTCATTTTCTCTAGTTTCTGCTGATTTGAAAACTTTTTTATAAATAATAATAATGCTTATGTCAAAGCATTACAGAAAATCGAAATGAACTACACTGTAAAAGTACCGGCCCTTTGGATGCCTCATCCGTAAAATCTAACCTACCATGAAATAACATACCGTAATTTTTACAGTAATAATTATTTAGTTTAAGTGATTCAGCGATTTTAAGGTAATTATTAGTGTAAGAATTATGGTAAATCAGATTTCTGTTCCGCAACATGTTCTGGCAAAAATGGGTTTTACGGTAAAAAGTACCAGCATCCTGAGTGTCGGTACTTTTTACCATAATTTGATCCGGAAATTTTTTAAGTGTAGATCAAAAATAGTACTTTGAGGATCAAAATAAAATAATATACACTCTATAACAAAAAAATCGACGCACCAAGAACGCACTAAGACGCGCAAAATCGACGCTCGATCAGGCAGGAATGATGCCGACTTGGGACGTGTAGTCTTTAGCGACGAATCCCGCTTCCAACTGTGTCCTGACGATCATCGAAGACGTGTTTGGAGACGCTCAGGGCAGAGTAGGGATCCTGCCTTCACTATTGCAAGCCACACCGGCCCTCAACAAGGCATTATGGTCTGGGGTGCCATTTCCTTTGACAGCCGGACCCCTTTGGTCGTCATTAGAGGTACACTTACTGCACAGCGGTACGTCGACGACATCCTAAGACCTGTTTTGCTACCGTTCCTTTTGCAGCGC